AGAGGATCATATGGTCTTTGTTTTTTAATTTGTTTATGTGGTGGATTACGTTTATAGATTTGCGTATGTTGAACCAGCCTTGAGATCCTGGGATAAAACCCACCTGGTCATGGTGTATAATTTGCTTGATGTGTTGCTGGATTCTGTTTGTTAGGATCTTGTTGAATATTGGTCACATATTTTTATTAGCTTATTGTTCACTTTATAGATTACTGGCACAGAAATATACATTTTACTATTTCTGCTCTTCTGTTTTGATGTGGTCCATAGCAGTTGATTTCTGATCAGTTAATGAAAACTGGGTTTCCTTTTGTTCTAAGAAAAATGTTCAGTAAGCAAAAATCAGTGACATCTATTTTGGGGCCAACTCTTTTCACAGCCCACTACCCTCAAAATAGAAGTGGATATGAAACCAACAATACTGCATTGAAGACACACCTTAAGCTACACTGATAATGTCTTCCAAGCGGACAGGTTAGTTTTTAGGTTATTTGGATAAATTTAAAAGGATTGATGATTGTTTTGTACCATTACAAATAATGTTTTGTGTTTCCATTTCAGGATCTCCATCATATACTAAGCACCAGGGTGGCCACGGTGGACAACAGATGAGCAGGAAATTATCTCAGAGATCCCAGGCTGGCTCTCCAGAGTACCAGACTGCATATTCCAGGCCCATGTCTGGCTATCCTGTCCCACCAACTGAGCCTGTACGAGCTGCCCCACCAGTCACTCCTATTCAGAGTCAGCCAGGTGGTCATGCAATGATACCGTGGATGCCAGCACCACCTTATCCACTAAACTGTCCACCTGGGCTAGAATATTTAAGTCAGGTAATTTCAAATACATGAAAACATTAATCAAAAACAAAACTGTGCTTCCACTTTACTTACCAGATTAATTATAGTTAAGCTATTATTCTTTTACCATTATTAAGTAATTAAAGTCAGAAATGACAAACAATATGTTTTCTTAACAGATCGCTAACTTTCTACGTGAGGGTCATTTTATTATTATTATTATTCTTTTTTTATTTTTAAACATACATGTGATTATTAGGTTTCTACTTTTTGCCTTCACAGAATCAAAAAGACTTAAAATTTACCAACAATAATAATGTTTAAGATAAAGACTAGAAACAAAAACCTCGTAAAGGATGAATGAAGATAAATATATTCAGAAAAGAAATCAGACAATTGCTACAACGAAGTATTAAGCAATAATAATAATAGTAATGCAAAAAAAGTAACATTCACATTGTCAAATGAGAGTATGACTATTAAAGAATGCTTTGACTCTGAGGTTCAGTATAGAGTCATCAATTAACTTTTTATTATTTTTTTCCAAAGTCTCAAAAAATAGGCCACTAATATTTATAAATAAAAATAAAAGATAATTTCAAAAAACAGAGCATGCCAAACCTTATAGACCATAGAAAAAGAAGAAATACTTCAAAATCATTCTGCTTAATCTGGATTCACCTAATATTAAAATGGAAAACATAGGGTCTTTTTTTAACTAAAATAGAAATATCATGAATAATTGTTTTCTGTGATCTCGAATATGATATTCAAAAGCAGATGTTTATGAGCACTAATTTCTGGGCTTTGTCCTAATCCTGAATCAATCTGCATAAAATTTCTATGATATATGGTTGCTATCATTATCACCATTTTATACAAAAGGAGACTGAGTCCAGAGAATTTGCTTGGTTAGGAACACTTGAGGAACTAGGGCTGGCTTTTTAATCCTGGTGCCTTTTTTGTACATTTCGTGCTTTTAATTTCCAATACTGAATAATTTCCTTGACATTGCAGGAGACTTGCAGTCAAGCTTAAGGGTTCAGCTTTCCTAAGTAGCACCATAAAGGGAGTTAATATTTTCTGTGTCATGTGACTCATCTTTTTCTTCAAATTTCTAAAATTACGTGTCTATACTGCTGATTTTGGTCTTTAGAAGATTCAGTTATGTAAATACTCCCAATAAGAGGAAAATAGTCCTGGATTTTTTGATGAACTACCTCAGCACTGTGATGGTTAATATTTAGTTTGTGTTAGAGATCAGGGAAGTAAAATAAGAACCAAAAGTTTTTACATGTCCAATCTTAAACTAGTATTTTTATAATATTCAGCTAGTTTTGAATAAATGTATCCAGTTCCTGCCTGGAATAAATTAATTTTCTACAATGTACTTGGACAATGTATATTATAAAAATTGTTAGTAGTTTTATTTCTTTAAGAAATGTCCTAAACAGGTTTTTAAAAATTCAAAGTCTTGGGGCCAAGCCAGTGGCTCATGCCTGTAATCCTAACACTCTGGGAGGCAGAGGTCCATGGATTGCCTGAGCTCAGGAGTTCAAGAGCAGCCTGAGCAAGAGTGAGACCCCGTCTCTACTAAAAATAGAAAAACTAGCCGGGCATGGTGGCAGACGCCTATAGGGCCAACTGGGGACCCTGAGGCACTCTGCCAAGGGTGATCAAATGACACTCTGCTTAAAAATTAATTCAAAGTCTCATAAAATATTTAGAAGAAGTTATCATTTGCACAGAAATGATGATATCCAGAACACTTACAAAGAATAAATTTGAGACCTTTTCAAAAGTGGTGCAAATTAAAAAAGTATCTTTATACTTCTTAAGCCTAATTTGAAAGGAATATTAAATTTTAATTTGTATAGAGGTTTCGTTGTCATTTTTACTTGACCTAAATTTACCCATATTAATAGTAAATCCTTTCAATAAACATATGTGACAGCCCAACTATGTTCTTTGCCCACTGCTCAAGAGGCAACCAGTTCACTGAGACAGCAGGGATTGCAGAGAGAAAGACCTTAATATTGCAGGCACCATGGGAGGAAATGAAAGAAATTTCTCAAATCCATCTGCCTGAAAATTTGGGAGAAGGGTATGTAAAGACCATTTGACAGGCAAAAGGCTAACAAAAGCATGAATATTAATTTGGTTGATTAAATACCATTTATCATATAATTTAATTTTCTTTTCTTTATAATAGATAGATATGGTACTGATTCACCAGAAGCTTGAAGTTCTAGAAGGTATGTATTCATTGTATACCTCATATTTCTTGGGAAAAAAAGAAATTGAAGCAGAGAAAGAAAAATCAAATGCTACAAATATAACACACTGGTGATATGCTATGGTAAACCCGATTACTTACAAATGAATGTCTCCTTCAAACTAACGAAATCAGCAGTTCATTTCTGAAAATTAGTAGTTAAAGGTTAAAACACAGCCTGGCCTCCTTATCCACGTGTTGCATATGCATGGATTCAACCAACCAGGGATCACAAATATTGAAGGAAACTGCATCTGTACTGACCACATGGTGACTTTGTTTCCTTGTCTTTATTCCCTAAGTAATAAAATGTAACAACTCTCTATATTGTATTGTGTATTATATGTAATCTAGGGATGACTTTAAACCTACAGGTAGATATGCATAAGTGACATTCACACACCGTGCCATTTTATGGCAGGGGCTTGAGCACCCTGGATTTTGGCATCTGCAGGAGGTCCTGGAACCCGTCCCCCATGGATGCTGAGGGTGGCCATGTTATAATGGTCTTCTGTCCTTACGTTGTAGACTCTAACCCAGGAGGAACACAACCAAGTCTAACTTTAGTTCCTCTCTTTCTGTACAAATCCCTGTGAGCGATTCAGTCACTTTACCTGACTTCTGCCACTTGAGCCATTTCCTCTCCAGTGTGTGATCAGCTGGAGAGCAGCACAGAGTCACATGCAGTAGGTCAGTTACCTGAGTACAATTCCAAAGCAAGTGACCTTTTTAAACTGGATGTGGATGTCCTGGATCATTATTGTTCATGCCTGCGGTTTCTCTTGGGAGTTTCGATGAGCTGTGTAAAACTTTGTTCCATGGGCTGTAGATGAGCATCCAGGATGCAGGCCCACTGGAGTGCTGGAGGCTGCTGCCCAGCAGACCTGCAGGCTTGGCTTCCTGGAAGAGCACTGCTACCCCTGCTGAAGGGCTGGGCACCACAGAGGGTTTCTTGGGTTGAGTGATCCTTGGGTGCAAAGCTAAACTCAGAAAGCGGTTTTAAAAGAGCTGCCAGGGGAATGAGACCCTGAGTGGATTGATGAATTGCAGTATCTTTCTTCTAGATGTAATGAAGATAGTCTTTTCAGGTATAATGAAAACTGCTACATTTTAGAATATATCTCAAGATTTTGAGAATGTAGCATTTAAGGTAGCACTTACAAGGGGAAAAGGGAAGGGGTGAAGGAGGAGCAGTGAGGTAATCGATAGCTTTCTTGTGAAGTTCTATCTGGTGCTCAGTAAATCTACAGAAGTTATAATGAACATTCCTAAAAGAGGTTAGAGGAGATCAGTGCGGTATTCCTCTTGGGGGTCAGGGGAGGAGAGTGGTCATGGCTCTTCCTTACTTTGCATCTGTGAAGATTAATTCCAGATAATCAACATTTGAGAGGTCATGTAGGCCGCAGTCCTAAGCTTATACTGGGCATGTCTTCATTTTATAGGGGTGGTATATCTTATAAGATTTGTTAGGGCTGAAGGACATAAAAAGCATTTTACCTCAGAGTACATCTCTTTGACATATTTTGAGATGGCTAAGGGGAAACAGGAACAATGCTGGAAGGCTGTGTAGGTGGGGAGGCTGGGGGAGAAATTTGCATCTGTAGGGAATCTCTGTTAAATGCAGCCTGGCCTGCCTGTTTGACCTGGGACAGGCTTGCTTGGAGTCTGACACCCTAACAGCTCAGCACACAAACATTTCACCGTGGACTGTTACAGTGAGGCTTAGCTGCATGACAAGACAACCTTGGGTCCTGGCTTGCTTTCTCTGTCCCATAACCTAAGCACACAGACTTAAACAAACACAAGCAAAAAGCAAACAAACAAACAGCACCCTGTTTAGTCATTTTCTAAGCCCTGTCGTTACTTAGCGGAGGACTCTGTTCCTCATTGGGGAGAGGATGGCAGTGCTAGTGTGACTCAGTTCTCAGGCTCAGTCATCTCTTTTGGCATAGCGAATTTTGAGGCATCTACGATTTTTATTTTTCCTTCCCATTGTGAGGGACATTTCTGTATGATGTCCTTTGATCTCCACTATAAGGAGGTGGGCCCATTCATTGTTGTTTCCTGGCTGTAAACAAGGTGGCCATCCAATGTGTGAGGCCCTTTGGAAGATGCCATGCACGTGTCAACATTGAGCATCCCACTGTTTTCCTCTTGAAGACATGATTCCATCTACAGTGCTGAGTTCACTTAGGATGACTATGTTCTAGATCTTCCATGAGTTGAAGGCCTAGTTACCAAGCACCCTCAGTCTTCGTCTAATGCACAATTCCCACTTGTGAACTACGGCTGAGCTACACAAAGGTGCCCTGGGTCCAATGTGACATTCTCATTCACCTCCATTTGGACTCTCTCCCTTTTCACACATGGGCTTTGAGAGTAAGGCCTTTCATTTAAACACAGTGCAAAAAGTAAAACAAGTGTGGCTTATGAAAGAAAATCCCAAACCACTTGATTTAATATATTTCACACAGCATAAACAGCAATCATCATATATTCCCCTCAATAATACACTAAAACTACACTGGGTAAGGGGACATTTTCTCTGTACACCTGGCAGCACTGTGTCCACCTGCAGCATCACCCACCCCTCTCTGTCTCCCTCGCTGACGGGAGTCTCTAAGTTGGGAAGATGACTTGTTCTCTTTGCTGTGTCTCGTGTAAGGACTCTTTCCTTCTCCAAATGCTAGCAGGCTCTCTTCCTCCTTTTCCTGTGCCTTTTTTCTCTGCTTGGATCATCTCTAAACATTGTGTGTTGGAGTTATCATGTAAAAGAGATATATCTAGATATTATAATGACTTAGGATAAATTCAATATTTTTGAACATAAAAGTGATTATGATTTTCTTTTATATTTTAGCCATAAGCGGTTTTGAAACCAATAACATTTATGAAATCCAGAACAGCTTTGGACAGAGGATTTACTTTGCAACAGAAGCTACTCCCTGTTGTACTCGACTTTGCTGTGGACCAGCTAGACCTTTTACTTTGAGGATAATTGACAATATGCGTCGAGAAGTCATCACTCTGGAGAGACCTCTGAGATGTAGTAGCTGTTGTTGCCCCTGCTGCCTTCAGGAGGTCTGTAATCAGTTATCAAGGCAGTAATGTAAAGTAGCTTAGCAAGATATTTCCCCCTATTTATGGAATCTATATAATCAAGTATTTAATTTTGACTTAAAGGAAAAAGGATCAAGAAGGTGTACATTTAGTTTTCTGAGTCATTTGTGTAGGAAGCCAGGCAAGTGAGTGGTTAGCTCCTGTCCCTGAGTAGCCTTCCTTGTGGGGCTGAGCAATGGGTTAGAGTAGTGGTTCTCAACATTCCTAATGCTGCAATGTACTTTCATTATTAAAAAGGGGTTGCGACCCACTGGTTGAGAACCGTGGGTTGGAGACAAGGAGAAAAGGTCAGATAAGGCATCTTGATCAAATCATGGACTGGAAATGACTAGGGAAGATGACCAGTCAGAATATCCTAAATATCATTCTAGGTCATGATATTTAGCATGTAGGCCATTGGTTCTCAAATTTCCTAATACTGCGACCCTTTAATACAGTTCCTCATGTTGTGGTGACCCCCAATAATTTTATGGTTGTGAGTCACCACAACATGAGGAACTATATTAAGGGTCATAGCGTTGGGAAGGTTGAGAACCACTGATGTAGGCAGAAAAATGAGGGGAAAACCAGATGTGTTCATGTCACAGTTGTGGCCATCTACTAAGGGACAAATCCAGAAGACCCCCTTCCAAAAAAGTCTCATCGCTGTGCTTTTCATTTCTCACTTTTAAAAGGACTTGCCTAAGTGTCACCTGTAACAGGGATACCCTAGGTAGGATATCTTCAGCTCTGTAAAGAACGGCTATCTCCGTTTCATAACACTCAGAGCCTCCTCCCAGGGAATATGGATTTTCAGGGAGAGACCAAAGCGCAGGAAAGGTGGCTTTGCCCAGATACCATTGTCGGGAGTCTGTCTCTGTGTAGATGACTCCGAAATCCCAACGTGTTCCTGTAAGAGCTGGCACATGTAAAGGCCAGAGTTATTGTGGTCTGATACTGCGTTTATTTTGAGAGGATAACTGAAATTACATGCAATGAACTACTTTATTTTACACGTACTCAGGTTAGGTATTATTACATATTCATAAAAATACCTGAGGAAAAACAGAGAGTTTGATGGTAAATTGTCTACAATTTGAATACCACATTGACCTATACTATTGTATTTAATCTTAAAGGTGCTAGTAAATCCTCATTTACAGATACGCAGACCGAGGCAGGGCCCGGAATCCAGGCCCGTGTTCTTTGCACCCTGGGCACACAGATGCAAAAACTGCACCAGCAGAACCCCACTGTTTTTAAAGCAGTTGGAGAAAACAGTTTCTTAATAATTTGGGTAGTTTATACAAGTAAGAAAATTAAAAATATACCAGGCCAGTAGATTAGTGCTTAAAAGAGAGAGTATTATGCTTACAGTCTGACCAAGTTTCTGCTCATCCCGTCCCCTCAGTGGCTGAGGAATCTGATGGAAATTAATTCCCTGCTCTTCTGTTACATTCTCTATAAAATCGGGAAAGGAATAGTACTAAGCTTTGAAGGTTATATTCTGAATTAAGTGACCCTTAGAGTGATGTCTGGCATTTAGACAATACTCAGTAAATGAGAGCTGTTATTAGACACTTTCATTATAATCGTCATTTTGTTTACATAAATATATGTGTGTGTGTGTGTATTTTTTGCTTTTGTAGGTAGAAGTCCAAGCTCCTCCTGGTGTACCAGTAGGTTATGTTACTCAGACCTGGCACCCATGTCTGCCAAAGTTTGCTGTTCAAAATGAGCAAAGACAGGATGTGCTCAAAATTAAGGGTCCATGCATTCCATGCGGCTGTTTTGCAGATGTGGATTTTGAGGTAAGACATGTTATGATGTTTACAGGATTTGCTCAGGGACCTTCCAATCCAGGTGGAAGGCAAAGGGGGAACCGACATGTCACATGGGAAGAAAGGAAGCAAGGAGTGGGTAGGTGCCACACTCTTTAAACAACCAGCTCTCCAGTAAACAGAGCCAGGACTCAACTCACTACCAATGCTTTTTCCTTCTCCCAGGCTAGAAGAGGACTTAGTGCTTCATTGGTACAGTTGCAGCGGGGGCAGATGATACATTCTGGAAATGGGTGGTGGTGATGGTTACACAACAATGTGAATATACTTAGTGCTACAGATTTTACCCTGAAAATGAATGAAATGGCAAATCTGATATGTATATTTCTACGATTTAAGAAAAGTCTTAGCCTGGCATGGTGGCTCATGCTTGTAACCCTAGCACATTCGATGTGGATGGATTGCCTGAGCTCAGGAGTTTGAGACCAGTCTGAGGAAGACCGAGATCCTATCTCTACTAAAAATAGAAACATTTTACCAAAAATAGAAAAACGAGCTGGGCATTGTATAGTCCAGCTACTTGGAAAGCTGAGGGAAGAGGATCATTTGGGCCCAGCACTTTGAGGTTGCTGTGATCTATGACACCACAGTACTCTACCAAAGGCAATAGAGTGAGATCTTGTCTTAAAAAAAAAAAAGTCTCATTGTTGAATCTGCCTGGGTAAACAAAGTCAGAACTAGGCGATGGAGTTGGACAGCACTGCCTTTCCACTTTGTGATAGGCTGAGTAATGGCCTGGAAAAGCATCCAGGTCCTTAGCCCCAAAAGCTGTGAATGTCTCCGTATATTGCAGAATGGGTTTAGCAGATGTTAATAAAGATCTTGAAATGGAAAAATAGTTTTACTTTATCTATAGGGCCCAAAATGTAATCACCAGTGTCCTCATAAGAGGGGCCAGGCAGCGGCATGCTCCTGTAGTTTAGTTACTAGGGAGGCTGAGGCAGGAGTATTGCTTGAAACCAGGAGTTCAAGAGCAGACTAGGCACTATAGTGAGCCACTCCTCCCCATTTCAAAACAAGGTGAAGCGTAGTAGGGAATGTTTTTTAAAGGGGAGGCCAGAAGATTTGACACAGAAGAGAAAATCTATTAAGATGGAAGCAGAGAGAAGCAGAGACAGAGTGCTTCCCAAATGCTGGTTTTGAAGTTGGAGGACAGGGACATGGGACATGAGCCAAGGAATGCAAGGAACGTGGGTCTAGAAGCTGGAAAAGACAGGGAAAGAGATCTAGAGGCTCTGGACTGAGCACAGCATTGCTAATGCCTGGATCTCAGCTCAGGGAGGCTGAGTTCAAACTTATGACATCCAGAACGGTAAAGAAATAGTGTTTCTAAACCATCAAAAATGAAAATCAAAAAATTCTGCCCTGCTGGGTTTCAGACTTGTATGGAGTCTGTTTTCTCTTTCTTTTGGCCAATCTCTAGGTGTTGGAATGGATGTTTGCACTGTATGTACACCAACATTGTATCTTGGAAGTAAATAGCTTGGTTTAATCTTACTGGCTCACATCTGTCAGGAACTAGCCTTGAGTCTTAGATGAGACTTTGGACTTTGGACCTTTGAGTCCAAAGGATAATTGTATTTTGCAGGGTGAGAAAAACATGAGATTTTAGGGAGCCAGGGGTGGAATGTTATAGTTTGGGCACTTGTCCCTTGCAAACCTCCTGTTCGAAGTTGATCTCCAATGTTGAAGGTGAGGCTGAGTGGGAGGTGTCCCCCAGCCTTGTTCCCGCTCTTGCCATGTGACATACCTGCTCCCCCTTCATCTTCTGCCTTGATTTGAAGCTCCCTGACACCGTGTCTCTTGGACAGCCTGCAGAACCATAAGCAAAGCAAATCTCTTTTCTTTATGAATTATACAGCCATGCAAAATGAACTAATACAGACACCATTTTCAACTCAATCTAAATTAGCCCTTAAGAAGAAAGAAATTAAGATTAAGGGATCATGAACAAGCTGAGTGTGAAAGCAGAGATGACCTGTGGTACTTTGTCTTTAAATAAAAGCTCTCTTCCAGCTGACGGTGCAGCCTTGCCCTGCAGCACTTCCCAGCAGCGATGTTGCTGGGAGACACAGTCAAGAGCAGTCAGATACTTGCTTCTGTTGCTCTGGACAAATCTGGGATGTGCTGTCACTTTACCATATTGAAAAAACAGGCGTGGGGCATTTTCAGAAGTTGGCTTGGTCTTCAAGGGAGTTATTGTTCTTTTACATCAGCCAAATAACTCAATTTTACAAGTTGCTAACACATGAAAAAGTTGTTTCTGGGTATATGTTTAATTTCTTTAGAATAAAGTGCTGCATGCTGACATAATAAAATTGCCTTTAGTCATTTAATAAGCCTAACCTTGACTCAAGTGATCAATGCCTATAAACATAATAAATAACAAAGCTAGTATTTTTATATTATAAATCAGTGTCATTTAAAGCCTATTAGTCAGGTATTGTTGTCCAACAAAAATAAAAACCCTACAGAGATATGGAGAGCTAGATTATCTGCATACCTGCGAGTGATGAAAGCTATTTTTGTGAAGACTTCTGGAGTTTGCTGTCTATAATTATGACACATAACCCAAAGATTGTATTAAACTCATTATCCTGTTCTCTTTTGAAGAAAGATCCATTGGGGTGACTAATTGAACAATAATTTAAGTAGAGTGTCTCAGAAGGAAAAAAACAACCTGTGGTTACCTGTTCTCTGTTGGAGGCTGGCTGGCCCCGAGTGTCGCCAATGGCCTGTACTGGGCCTGATTTTGTGCTCTCTCCTTTAAGAGGCTTTGCATTCTGCACCCAGCTTCCTCAACAGTGGAGTGAGCATGAACCTTGGATCGAGTATTTCGTTTGGGAATTATTTGGTGGGGCCTTTTGAATAGTAGTGTCTTAGTGAAGTGCTAGATGATAAGAAGGGATTAGATTATCTTCACTCTGTGATTCTCTGATGTTCAGGGACTTTGAACATCTTACCCCCACATTACTGTGGACTGGTCTGTGCTCTTTGCTTTATCTATTCATGGCCATTGTATTTTTGACTATTGAATTGTTTACTTTTTTCTTGTCACTTTCTAAAAATTTTTGATTATTGGAGAAGACTGTGATCCTGCTTCTGTCCTCAGATTTGCAAGTATTTTCCTCAAATCTATTTTGCCTCAATAGCGTTACATGCAAATTATCCCCCAAATTCAAGGGCTTAAAAAAAAAGTGTTTCTCTTCATGCTTATTGTCTACGAGTCAACTGTATTTTAGTGGACATTCCTAGAATCAGAGATCTCTGACTTAGGTTACTAATGGCCTCAGGTCAGATCTAGGTATTTTCATCCTTAATTTGTAGCACCAGAGGCTACTTCAGTCTGATGTTTTTAGGGGCCAATTACCTGACACCAAGAGCCAGACTAAACCATTTAGCCATATTTAAGGTCATATCAACTTACTTACCTTTGGCTAGACAAGGCACAAGTGAAGCCGAATTATGAAGGAACAGGGAACTATTTCAGACTACAGTGGAAGCGAAAGTAAAATAAACATTTGATAAACAGTAACCCATACTATCACAGTTTCACACTAGAAATTTATTTCAGAATTGTTTTCTTCTTGAGACAGTCTCACTTTTTTACTCTGGGTAGAGTGCCATGGCATCATAGCTCACAGCAACTTCAGTCTCTTAGCTCAAGTGATCCTCTTGTTTATGCTTCTTGACTGCAGGTGTCTACCATAACACCCAACTGCTTTTTCTATTTTTGGTAGAGATGGCCTCTCACTCTTGCTCAGGCTGGTCTCAAACTCCTAAGCTTAAACAGTCTACCCACCTTGGCCTCCCAGAGTGCTAGGATTACAAGCATGAGCCACTGCACCTGATGTTCAGAATTTTAAGAATCCATCCACCACAGCTCAGTCAGGTTCTAGCCGCTGCCTCTTCCCAGCCCCCTAGGGGCCTCCATAGCTTCTGGGGGGAGCTTCTGTGGGGATGGGAGGCAGGACTGACACAGAACCACAGCAACACTACACAAAGTTCTTGGCCTCCACCGTAGCATTTTCAAGCTCCCGAGGAAATGGCAGCCTGCAGCAGCACAGATGGAAGATATTATCAAAGAAGAAGAGTAGATATTCAGTGAAGCTAGAACTCTGATCCAGAAAACAAAAATACCGACCCAAGGGGTAAGCCAGAGGGAGACGTGTGTGCCACTGATGCTCACAGACCCAGACATGATCAAACATTGTACAGATGAAAGCACAGCCAGGATTGAAACTGGACTGCATTACTAGTGCCTTGTCCTGGGCCAATTCCTGTCCCTCCAATGGGCCTCACCCCACTGGACGGACTGGGACTGTGAAGACAAGAGAAACTGAAAAGCCTTTGCAAACCAGGGTATCTCTGATCTCATCATGAAGTTTCCTAATCCAGAAGAAGGTTTCTTTCTGGGACTGATGGGCCAGCTAGATCTTGAATGAAAACCAGATGGCAAAACATTTCTTCAGTAGGGGCAAAAATTCAAATATCTTTCTAAAACCTCTGAAATGGATTGTCACCACATGATGTGTGCTCACATATCCCTAGAGTTTGTCAAGGATAGATTGGTTTGTCTGAGTGGACGGCATTAACGCTCAAAGTCCTGGGTCTTACCTCCTCACTGAAGTCACCTTCAGACACAAGACTAGGGCCTGTGGGAGGACACGTGGAGGGTGAGAAGGCTTTTCATGGGAATGCTGTTCCCCACAGGTGCCCGCTGATGCAAAAGCCTCAGCCAGATGCTGGAATTTCTAATGGCTACTGTGAAACTATGTACGACTCTCAGGTTTTATTTTTTCCCAAGTTACAGATTTACTTCACAGTGGGGTGTTTTGTCTGTGCTTTTTTTTTTTTTTTTTTTTTTTGTCTTTTGATCCTTCCAATTTCCAGATAAACTCCCCTTAAAAAGGGCATCATTGGATTGATCATGGTTTTTCACTGACATTATAAATGAGACTCCTTTCTGT